CCCCAAAACCCCAAAACCCCAAAACCCCAAAACCCCATCAAATGATTTAGGAATAGATTATATATTTATAAATGTCCGAGGAGGATAGAACTCTTAATCAGGCTTTACTAGAAGAGGCTAAGCAGCTGCAAGAATCTTTTGACAGATTCATTGAACGTGTCGAAAACAGAAAGAAATACCTAACCGCACGTAAAGAGCTTATGGACAATCACAGAGAGACAGTTTTCCAACAAATTGATGCTTACTACGACATTCTCCAGCGACAGATTGAAGAGAAGAGGAATAAGGTCAAGGAACAGTACAAGTCTATTGAGGGCAGGGAGAAGCGAAGACTAGGGTTTATTCAGCTTCAGGTTCAAAACACTGAGGAAAATATTAAGCAAGTCGAAGATAATATCCAAAACTTCACTGAGGAATTCGATTTGGATATGGAACACCAAGCTAATAAGGCTGGATACGAGAGTGTTAAGAGAGAATTTGAGGAGTTAGAGATGGATCAGGAGAAATAAAACCTACTTTTTGAGAAATTCAAGGTTTGTCCCTCCTACATTTGAAACAGTCAGTTCTGATTTACCTGATATTATGGATATTGGGAGAATAGTTGATAATTGAGAGTTTTCTGAGCCCCTTATTACCATGAATACTTATAATTTTGAGCTTCTTGAGTATAAGCAAGATGTCAAGGGATTCCAGAAGGTTCTTGTCAAGGGTAAGAGCTTATAGTGCTAACTTTTAGATGATATGAATTTGATTCAGGACGTACCAAAATATTTCAGAAGCATCTTAATATCCAGCGATGAAATTGCTATTCTTGGAGGATATGATTATGCTATCTCGAATAGTAGCAAGAAAGTGTTCTTTGTAATCAATGGAAGACTAGTCAAAGGTATTGCGATGCAATACCCAAGGCAATACTTCTCGCTCTGTATTGATAAGGTAAATTGCTTCTTGTATGTTATTGGAGGATATAACAAGGAAGAAGGATTAATTCCTTATTGTGAAAGACTCAGTCTTAAATCAAAGCAATGGGAAGAGATCGAGATTCTCAACACACCAAGAATGTATAGCTGTTCTGCAGCTATTGGTGGAACTCATGTATATACATTCGGAGGAATAGGGCCACTAGATTACCTAACTTCTATTGAGAGATATAATATTGGCTTGAACATCTGGACTGAGCTAAAGGTAAAGCTGCCAACTAAACTTAGCAATGCTTTTGCATGTAGTGTAAACGCTCATGAAATTGTCATTCTTGGAGGAATGAGACCAGTTACTTCATCGACATCATCCAAAAGATTCGTAGTAGAGAACACTGTGTATTGATTCAACACTAAGAAATATTCCTTTTTGCACTTGAAATCTTTGCCATTTTCTAAGAAATTATCAAATATCTCGTACGAGGGGAACGGAAAGATATTCTTGTATATTATGCATAGACATTACGAATATCCTCAGATAATTATGTACAATCTGAACAAGATTTATCCTGAGTTTGACAGATACGCTTTCACAAGAGAGAAGGAGAAGTGGAGCAAGGCTAAAGTCAAGGAGAAAATCAACAGGATCACTCCTGACTATTACGCCCATCCAGACCTGAGAGCCACTGATACTATTGAGGATACTGAACGGGTCAGAAAGAACAGTACTAATAACCGTAAGGAGATGATGGAAGAGCACCAAATGATGCAGGAGTTAGATGTGATCAATCAGGACAAGAGAGCTCCTGAGAATCCAGATGACCCTAATGGAAATTTGAGCCTATCAGCAGGCGAGAATGAGAAGATTAATACAAATTCAATGTATAGAAATATCAAAATGATAGAAGAAAGAGAGAGCATGAACTACAACGCTCTAGGAGAAGTGATCGAACAAGAAGAAGAAAAGAAAGAACCTTCTAGATTATATCGTAATCTATATTGTTAATTATATAGATGTTGAGAGTGATAGTTCAGATAATGAAGACCAAAACGAGTACGGCGAGAGTACACCATAATGATTCAACCTCATTAGCACTAATAGGGGTTTTGGGGTTTTGGGGTTTTGGGG